ACACAGTAACTCTTATATATATTTCAGTAGAAGAAAAATGAATCACTGACTTCTTTAATGAAGAGCCAGCATCTAGCTATTCTATATAGACAATGAGCGGATACTCTTCTCTCATTTCATGAGTGAGAATAGCTGAAGTGATACCTCAGTAGCATCTTATTATCAAGGAAGAGTAATCTGCTGATCTCATATAGAAGTGAGATTCTCATATTCATCAATCGGATCTTTCTATGATACATCCGAATGATGTCATAGAGTGATTGGAAACCGGTTCGGACGGTCTGCGGAATGGATGGAATCATCCGCATGGAAGCGATGGGCCGTGTGGAACCGCAACGGGGCCTTGGCGCGGCCGGGAGCGTAACACTTCTTTAAGAAATTTATTCTAGCAGTCTGTTTTAGCTCTTTTAATATCTGAAAAATATTCATTTCTGACAGCTTTGAACTCTTCATTAGATATTACATTATTTCTTCAATCTCTTCTAGCAGTAGCTAATTCTTTTCTTTTAGATAAGATATTCTCATTTCATCAAGGTTTTAAATACTCAGAAGATTTTCTCTTTGAAATATTATCTCTAACACTTGTTAGAATAATAGATGTAATAAGCTTCACTCTATTCTCAAGCATTTCATTTGAGATATCTTGATCAGAATTTCAATATAGCTCATTCTGTCTTTCAGATTTTAACAGTTTTATACTTTCTTCAACTGCTTTTCAATCAGCTTTTTCAAAGTTAAACTGATTAGAGAGAAGAGAATTTTCACTCATTTGTTTTTTACTCAGTTCAATATTAAATTGAATAATCTCATAATCTGATTCTGATGTATCATTTGAATTAATAAATCAGTTTATAAGTCTTCTTTTTATTAGATTTTCTGACATGAAGATTAGATCTATAATAGATTTCTGTTTCATGTCTTTTCTAAAGAATGTTTGTTGATCACACTTATTAATTAAATCTATTGAATGCTCAAAGATTCATTCAATCAGATTATCAGCTCTTACTGCTCTCTTATATTCTGAATTTCATCAGAGATGATGTGCATTGAAATCTCCTGCAATTATAGAGTTTCTTAATAAAGTTATATTCAGAAATTCTCTATCAATTATTCAGATATTGTTATTTTTCTTCAATGACTTTTCATTATAGATATTTATGAGCTGTATAGTATTAAACTCATTTTCTTTATCTATAATATCACTCATCAGAATATCAGGGTCAGATATGATATCAAATCTTAGATTAAATTGATATCTTGATCTCTTTCTTTCATAGATCACTACTCTTGACTTTATCTCAGACTTTTGAGATAGAAAGCAGTAGTAGCTTGAATGAGAAATGATGTAATTTTACTCAGCATCAAAATTCGGTTCCTGAAGTAGTATAAAATCAACTTTTTATTCAAATGTAATTTAAAGATAAGAATAAATACAATTTAAGTTTCTATTCACATTATTTTGAATAAATGTGGTTTTTGAAGAGTTTTTAAACTTTTTTTGTTGTTTTTGTTGTATATTCATACTAAAAGAGAGTAGAGATAGAGTAGGATCTAGTCACTATCATCAGATAGTAGATTATAACTATTTTGAAAAGTAGGAATCTCAACTGCTTGTATTATATCTAGTTTATTATCAGAGTTATTTCTCAATTCTCTAATCTTAACAGAAGTTTGAGAATTCAAATTCTGTTTACATTTAGCTGGAGAATTGAAGTTTGAAGATTTAAATAGTTGAGAGTTTCTTCTTTTTAAGCTTGCAGTTATAAGTCTACTGGCTTGACTCTTCTCTTCAGTTCTAGATTGACTTTGAGCTTCATCTTTTCTTCAGTTCTTTTGAGTTCTAGGAGCAAACATACATTCTTTTGAGCTAGATGCATGGTTTTCTTTGCAATTAGAGCACTTAAGCAGAGTATATTGACATATTTCATCTCTTTTTGAGCATGTTTCATATTTATGCTCACTAGTTTTGTGATCTCTGGCACAGAATGCACATTTTGAGTCTCTAAAATATGAGATTGTAAAGTGTTCATATCTTTGACAGTTTGAACACTGTGTTTGAGCTTTGAGATTCATTCTTGAGTCTTTGTATTCATGAACTCTCATTTTTAAATCTGCTACTCTTACTTCAGAGATCTTTGACTGTTTAAGTGTTTTTATATATACTAGAACAGAGGCATTTCTCCTGCTTTGTCTGAACTCAATTGAATTTAGTTATACAGGCTTCTTTCTCAGTTGAATAGAGTTGTATTCTTTCAATTCATTTTTGAGAAGTAGTATTTCTTCTTCACAGTCAAAAATTTCAACTGAAATATTATGAAGAATGAATTTGTCTCACTTTTTATCTCTTTCAGATAGAATTATTGTGTTTAACAAAGATTCTACTGCTGACTTTCAGAGATTCTCATTCTGAATAAGGACTTCAGCACTGAATTCAGGCATTGTAGTCAGAATGATGAAGTTTTTAAAGAATGATGACTCAATTGATGCTATAACTGGTTTTTGAACTTCAATATCAGTCATCAACTGAGAAAAGAACTGCTGATTAATTTCATTTCTGATTCTGAAAATGAGATTTAAGTTTAGCTTGTTTCTTTGCAGAATATCCTGATTTAAGACTTTGAGAATAAGTTTTCTATTTCTGCAGATTTGAAAGTTTTTCTCTTTTTACATTTTCTTTTTCACTTTTCTATGAATAGAGATATGAGCAGTATTCTTCTCAGTTTTCTCAGCATTTTGAGCAGGTTTTGAGATAGCAGGTTTAGAGACAGCAGATTCAGCTGCTTGAGCATATGTTTTCTTCTGATTCAAAGAAGAAGAAGAAGTAGAAAAAAAAGAAGAAGAGTAAGATGAAGAGTCAGTGATTGTACTAGGAATTTTCAATGTTTTTTGAACTGTGTTTGAGATTTCATGTTTGAACTTGATCATCTCCTGTAGTTGTCTAGCCTGAGTATGAAGAATTAACAGAACTTCTTCATTCATCTCACTCAGACACTGCTTTTCAAGAATCTTGCTTGCTTTTTCAAGTTCCTGTATTTCAAGAACTTGTTATTTCTCTATTTCTTCTTTCTTTCTTCTCTTCAGAATTTCAATCTCAGGAATAGCATTTGAGAAAGCATCTTTTCCACATCAACTGAGTGTATTTTTGAACTCATTATTCTCACTCAATGAAAAGTTGATCAGACTGTTTCAATTGAGATATTTCTAAGTCTCTTTTCAATTGAAAAGTTGCTCAGACTGTTTCAAAAGAAGAATAAAAGACTGTTATGTATAAAACATCTGATTTTTTTTACACTAGTTCAGTAACTAGGTTAGATTTTTGAAGAGAATCTAATAAACTAAAATTGATTTTTAAGATAAATCAATAAAATCTTTATAATCTCTTTCTTGAGATACAGTGAGGAAGAGTATGATATCAATTGATAATGAATTAGATGATATGACAGTTTTTGAGAGAAAAACTGACAAAAAATAAATCAATTTTTTACAGAGAAATTGATTAAAACTATTCAATTTTATTCTAAATCATTCAATTCTTCTCACACAACAAGTATGCAACTCAAATCAGTTAATAAAGAGTGTAAAAAATAATTAAGTATTAATGAAAGCTCTTCAGTCACTGAAAAAGTAATTCTTACTTAAAAGAATATGAAATTATGACAGAAAACAGCTCTGTTTTTTATTCTTTGTAAGAATATTGTGTAAAACTCAGAGAAAAACATCTTACTTTTTTAAGAGAAGTAAAAAACTATTTCTAAGATCTTTTTTTTTGCATTAACTACTGCAGAAGAATGAGATAGAAACTGCTAAGATATACTATTATTATTATTATTCTTCAATTATAAATGTATGCAGTCAGAGACTATGACATCTACCTGAGAATCTTTAGTTCTCAGAGTTTTTCCTATATCTATAGAGTCAACTATTATACATTTATCAATTTCAAATATGCAAAATTAGAAAATTCCAGCTCAGATGTAACGTGGCGGGACCGAAGCGGTGGCTAGTCGGCGGTGTCACGTAGGGGTAGTTGTTTGGGAAGCCATATGAGTGGGCTTGACTATCTTGCTTGAATAGCGAGCTCGTAGGCTACAGGGTTATTGTGAGGATATCACAGATATGGTACTTAGTATACTAAGAAGATTGTATGAGGCATGCAGTAACTCTTGTATATATTATTCTCCTAGAAGGAAAGAAATGAATCACTGGCTTCTTTGATGAGGAGCCAGCATCTAGCTATTCTATATAGACAATGGGTGGATACCCTCCTCCCATTTCACAGGCGAGGATAGCCGGAGTGATACCTCAGCGGCGCCTCATTGCCAAGGAAGAGTAATCTGCTGACCTCATATAGAAGCGGGGTTCTCATATTCATCAATCAGATCTTTCTATGATATATCTGAATGATGTCATAGGGCAGTTGGAAACCGGTTCAGATGGCCTGCGGGATGGATGGAATCATCCGCATGGAAGTGATGAGCTGTGTGGAACTGCAACAGAGTCTTGGCGCGGCTGGGAGTGTGACAATGCCCTTCTCTTTAAGGGCATAGTCTCTATGCTCTCAAGATTACTGAATTAGGAATTATCTTTGTTGTATAGCAATGGTTGTCAACTGATTGACAGCATGTGTGCTGCGCGTGGTACAAAGGAATAGATGAGTTTTTCTGCTGACTGTGTAGATCTTTCTTTTCTCATCATCATTCAAACCAAACACATGGTAAGTGAGTTTCTTATATATCAATTTGAAATGTGGAAAATGTAGTTAACAAGTGACTTGCAGATCTCTCAATATATTTCATTCTATGTATGAAATTCCCTGCAAAAGTGATGTGTTTTAGAGACAAAGCTAACAGTAGTGACAGGATTTTTTGAAAAGATCTCTCTCTCTGTGAAACATTTTTCTTTCCCCCCCCCCCAATTGCAACAGTGAGTGTATGAGAGTATTGTCCTTGAAGGACAATCAAGGGCTTATTCTGATGTTTTCTAGTGAGTAACAAATGTCTTCATGGTGTGGCGGCGGCCTCCGTGGCCGCCAAGAAAGCCAGGTTGGAGGTGGAGGCAGCAGTGTCAATGAGCCGCGGGAGCACTGCTTCCATTGTCACACCTCCTCCTTCTTCTGCTTCTTTTGCAGTCATGGCGGTAGTTGCTGTGCCTTGTAGTGAGATGTTGTCCCTTCTGCCAGTTGGTTCATCCGTGTCCAGTCTGTCCTCTGCCCCCCTCACCGCCATTGTGACGCCGCCCCCCCCCCCGGCCAATACAGTGGTGTATGACCCTGTGTGGTCATTCAGAGAGAAGCCTGAGGAGAGCTTGGTTTCAGGGACAGTGGCTCTGAGGAGCCCAATCTGTAGTTCCCCTCCCGCGGCACGCCTGAGCCCTGCTCAGAATGCTGCTGGGTTGGGTCTGCAGGATCCTGCAGTTCCTTTGTCTTCTCTCTGTGAAGAGGCTCCAGTGCAGCCTCTGGCTGGCATTGCTACTTGTCTGTGCTGTGCTAAGCAGCTGAAGAAGAGAGGGATTTTATGCACTCACTTCTTCTCTCACTCTCATTGTTTCTGTTGTGCTTGCAACAATGACTTCTGTCTCTCTGTAAGTATCATCTCACAGAAAGATATCATGTCAGTTCTGACAAGAAGTCTAGATGCTCAAGCAGTACAGAGTGAGAGTCTCAGAGCTTCAAGTGTTGACAGATTTCATCAAGGCTGAGGAGGTTTCTCTTGCTCATCTGCAAAAGGAGGTGAAAGTGTGAATCTCTGAGATGAAAAAACACCTCAGAATGACTGATCTCAAGAAGAGGTTAGCCAGCATCATCATTGAAAGTGTCACAGAGATCAATCACTGATTAAAGAGAATCTCACTTCAGTTGAAACAGATGACTGAGATACTTTATAAGTTGATAAGTTAATACTTTCAGTATCTCTCATACTCTTCTGCAGCATGCTCTTCTACAGTGCTGCAGCACTAACTTCTCAGCAGATAAAGATGTCAGTGTCAGAGACTTCAACAGTGAAGAATGAGTTTGATGAGAGTGTGATTATTGATGAGTAGGCTCTGGTCCTTCTTTTTACTTTTTTAATGAGCTGTGACTCTATTAGAATAGCAGCGGCTTGCAGGTTGATAATATTAATCTTTTTATTAGTTTTCAATATCTCTTTTCTCTAACTGCTTCAGGAATTTTACACTTGTGTAGTCTTATTAAACTTCTAAAAACCCTTTGAGAGAAAATAGAAGAAGAGTGCTACAGAGCCTACAAGACACTAGCTCACTATCATGAGATCATCTCTAAAAAAACCCTTTGAGAAAAATGAGAAGTCTCAAGCAGCATTTCTTGCTCAACATCTCTGGTGTGTAACAGAGCAGTCTCTACTAGTCATCTCATAGATTGCAATCTCTTTCTCAGCATTTTTCAAATGCTCAAGCAGTTCTCATGAATTCTCTGACAATGAATATTCTTCTCATTTGATGAGATATTGAAGCTTGCTATAATGTGTTCACTTATTCAATATTTCCTTCACAAGATATTCAGTATCACTCTCAATCTCAATATCATTCAGCTGAGGTGACTCCATCTCAAGGTATTGCTTATAGGGCTTCAAATAGAAAATGTGAAAAACAGGATAAATTAATTTCAATTCTGTGAGTAATTTCAACTCATATACCTGTTTATTCACTACTCTTGTTATCAGAAAAGGTTCTAGTCACTACTCACTGAGCTTCTTACACAGTCTCATTGTCTTGATGTTCTTTGCTGAAAGTAGCACTTGATCCTCTATTGAGAACTTCATCAGAAGATATTTTCAATTATAGTATTTCATCTATCACTTCTGAACACAGTAAATGCTTTTTGCTGCCTTCTTATGAATTTTATTTAAAAGCTTCAATCTTGCTTTTACTTCTGACACTGAGAGATACTTCATTCTCTGTATCTGTCTGATATTCTGACTGCCTATTCTTCTCTTTGAAACATTGTCTGCGATGTCACTGAGTAATGAAGGATTATATTCATAACAAGCATAGAAAGAAGATACCTTTAAGATTGCATTCTTTGTATTGTTATATGTGAATTCAGCAGTCAGAAGGTGTTTGAGCTAATCATTCTGATGATATGAACAGAACACTCAAAGATGCTGTTCTAGTGTCTGATTCTGGTGTTCAGTCTGGCCATCAGTCTGCGGATGAAATGCGATACTGAGAAGACATCTTATTATAAGATGATAGCAAAAAGTCAACCAGTATTTACTGATGAAGAGGGATTCTTGATCTGTTATCAATGATTTCAGAGCACTGTGATCATGAATAATAATATCTAAAAACAGGTCAGTCAATTCAGAGGCTTTAATCTTTTTATGAGTAGAAATATATCTGATCATCTTTGTGAAGCAGTTAACAATGACCAAAATTGAGTTATATTCTTTGACTCTTGTCAACTTCAGCAGGTCAACTATGAAATTCATCAATAGATTCTGTCATGAGTTTTTTGAAACAGGCAGTGATACTAACTTACTGTATTGCTTATGCTGCAGAATCTTTATTCTTTGACAGATATTGCAAGTTTCAATATACTCTTTGACATCTGTCTGAAGCTTGTTTCAAGTGTATTTACATTTTAGAAGCTTCTCAGTCTTCTCTAACTCAAAGTGCCCTGTATGAGAATCATCATGATGAATTCTCAATAACTTCTAGCACACTGCTCTGCTACAAGGGATGAAGACTGAATTATTCAGCAGTAGGAGTTCACATTCTCCTAGTTATCAGTGACTTGGTTTCTTAGCAGCAGTGCCCTGCCCAGAGTCTGTCTCTTTTAAGTTCAAACTGAATTCTTTCTTCTTCAACTTTTGAATTCAAGCTGCAGTAGAGGCATCCTTCTTCTGTAACTCATCAATGAATTTCAAAAGTAGTTAGATTGAAAGATTGTAGACTGTTTCATCCTTTGTCAATTCAATGATTGTAAGACATAATATGAGAAGCTCATGATCTTCAGTGTCAGTCTCCTGTGAGGACTCAGGTTCTCTTTCACCTTCTATACTGAGTCATGCAGCTGCCTCTTCAGCGCTGTTCCCAAGCTTTAGAGAACCTTAACCCCCTGCAGTCAGCTTCTTCTGCAGTGATGACAGAGATTCTTTTATAGAATTCTTCTCTGCATCAATGATATTATAATCAGGCTGTCTAGACAGCACATTGACAGGGTTAAGCTGATCTGAACAGTATCAGATATAGAAATCATACTTCAAAAGCAGCTTCACTCACCTGGCTTGACATTCTGTCAAGCTCTTTGTTGTCAAGAAGTAACACAGATTTGCATGATCAGTGAGAACTTGTACTGAGTACTTACTACTCTGAAGATAATATCATCAGATCTTAAAGAATTCAACAATTGCTAACATCTTCTGATTATGAATATTATACCTTCTCTGTGTGAGCAATAACTTCTTGAAGAAGAAGGTCACTGATCTTCATTTGTGATATCTTGTAAACTCTGTGAAAAAGCCTTCTCTCACAGACAATTCATTGCCTGTTTTCTCAGAAGTGATTATCTTCTGATTCTTTCAACATTGAAAGGTCTCTGATATCAACTGTGAAAAGATTTCACAGATCTCATTCTCAGATGCATCAGTCTCACACTGACTGAGTAAGTCAGAGTTAAAATGATTCAGCATCATGACATCTGTGAAAGCTTGTTTCAATTTCACAAATGCCTGCACAGCACCTTGAGTGAGAGTAAATAGTCCTGTTTTTCTGTCTTTCACACTTCTCTTCAACAGATCTGTAAGAGAGGCAGTAATTCATGAATATGCATAGATGAATCATCTGTAGAAATTCACAAATTCTAGAAACACCTGTACCTTGTGATATGTCTGTGGCACTGGCCAGTTCTCAATGATGAAGACCTAGCTTCTATTCATTGAAATGTCATTCACTTCAACAACATAATCTAAGAAATCAATCTCCTGCATGTAGAATGAGCATTTTTCAGTGTTTGCATAGAGTTGATACTGTCTCAAGCAACTCAACACTTCTCAAACATGAGTATCATGTTCTTCCTCTGATTTCAAGAAGATTAAAATGTCATCTAGGTATACTATGCAGGAGATGTCAACAAGGCTCTGCAGCACCTCATTTATATAGGCCTGAAAGATGGCTGAAGTGTTATAAAGACTAAAAGGCAAAACAAGATATTCAAAATTGCTGTACTTGGTACAAAAAGTCATTTTTCAAACATCATCTTTGTTAACTCTGATTCTATGATAGACATTCTGTATATCAATCTTCAAGAACATCTTTACTTCAGATAATTGATTGATCATCTTGTTAATTAATGATAATGAATAGCAATTCTTAACTGTCATCTTATTGAGGCCTCTGTAGTCTATGCATAGACATAGTCTATCATCCTTCTTGAGCACAAAGAGTATAGGCGCCCCTGTCAGACTCTTTGATGAATATATTCAGTTCTTTGATTGCACTTCTTCAAGATATTTGCACAGAACATTCAACTCCTTTACAGACAAGTTATAAAGAGGCCTGTATGATATCATTACACCATCTTCAAGGCAAATCTTATGTTGTATCTTGATGTCAGAAAACTTCACTGCTTCCTTTTTCAAAAAGACATTCTTAAAATCTGTAAAAAGACATCATATACATCTGTCTTCAATGACAGATACTGCTGCTAATCTTGCAGCAAGGATGATGACTTCTTCACCTGTCTTCAAGTCTCAATCACCTGCTACACAGTATATCAACTCAATCTTTTTCTCAAGATTCTTTTGATAAAACTCTTCAGGTTCCTCTATCACTGCCTCTTTATCAGTGAGATGATACTGCCACATCTGAGTGACTCAGTCAATGAGAGGATTGTTTTCTCTCAATCACAGAAGATCTAGAATGATGTTCTCATCTATGATGTTGACTGTATGAAGAAGCAGACTGCTCTTCTTGAAGATTTCTTCTGAGTCTGTGATCACACACTTTGCTTGAATTATGTCAAAACAGTGACATTTCATTTCATCTATAAATTTTGCATGATCTGACAGACCTATCTTCTTTCAACTCTTCATCAAAGAAAAGAAATAGAATATGAAGTTAGTATTCACTTCAGAGTCAAGTAGACATCTCACTAGTATCTTCTTATTCAGAGTATGCATTGTGATTGTAACATAAACTTGAAGATATGAGAATTGTCAATTCTTTTCTTTCTCTTCTTTATCTTCTGTGGATACATTTGTCAGAAGAGGAGTTAACTTTAAGAAGATGTCTTCTCAGTTTCTTCTCTTCTTTGACTTCTTGTAATCACTGACATAGTGATCATCAGCTCTGCAGTTGAAACAGAGATCTTTGTCAAATCTTTTTTAACATTTCTTTACAGTGAGTGAAGAATCAGAATACTTGAAATTCTTCTTTACTTTCTCTGCACTGAAGTCATCATGACACTGTTTAGATCCTGTCATTGATTACTTAGAAGAGGTCTTGTTGACCTTTTTCTCAGAGGATTGATTATTCAAATAGATTTGAGAAGCCAGGTTGACAAGCTCAGTGTAATTAGTTAATGAACTCTGATACTGTGATATTATTGTCTGCACTTTATAAGTCAGCTTCACAAGATAAAGCTGTGTTTTTAATTGATTCAAATCATCAGTCAATTCCTCTCAATATTCTTCAAATCTTGTGTTGAAATCAGAAGGATTTTCATCATCTCATTGATGTAATGAGTTAAACTACTGTGCTGCTGTGAAGCTGCAGTTGCAGTAGTCTTCAATTTGATTCAGTAGAAAGTTCTTGAATTCTTCTCAAGTCATGATAGTATTGATACACTCAAGCTCCCTCTTCTTGATGACTCAAGTAGTTGCAGAGATGCCTTCAAGAAGGTTGACAGCATATATTACTTATATCTCCATGAGTATTATACTGGCTCGGGTTAAGGCGGAATTTCTGTTCAAGGATACAGATAAAGCTGTGGAATTCAGACAAGGTGTTTTCCTTGTATCTCAGTGAATCTCTGATCTTAATCTCTCTATCTCCATAATAGATGTAGGTGTGTAGAGGCTGCG